GAGAGGTCACTGCTGGACACTGGACAGCGCAACGCCCACCCAGCCACAGGCCACAGAGCTAAGAGCAAAGGGCAACAATGCCACCTCTACGCCCCTCCCCCCACTACAGAAGTAAGTGGTAGTGAGACCGGGGCCATGAAAGTGGAGGTTTCTGGAGGCAGTGATGGGTGGAGCGTCAGGTAGAGACCTAGAGGCAGTTGAAAGTGTGTCCAGTTGGTTTGCATCACCACAGTGTGACCTTTGGCACCTACAGGTGGTTCGAGGAGTCTGGAGACACAACCCCAAAATTCACATACACACACACACACACATACACACACATACACTCACACATTCACATTTACATATAGATACATGAAAAAGCAGAACATGAGAAAAAAGCATTTTAAAAGTTTACTCCAATGTAAACACATATTTTTAATTGTCTATCACTTGAATCTTTAGTTGAATCAGTATTTTTTGAGACCAGAAATGTTCATTTGAATTCTTTATTGTCATGGACATAATTGACCTCTGTCCTGACACTTTTGATTTGTTGATTTTGTACTGTGTGAAGTAATTACATTGATTAGGATTAGAATCAAAGTGACCAACCATAGAAAGTAACTATTGCATAACAAGCTGTGTACAGGAACTGTGACACTGCACCATTGACCAGAAGTGCATCGCAAATGACCTGATGTGCTTCAACTGAAAAGACTGTATCTGGAGATCCTGATGTGCATCTGGAGAGACCAAAACCATGGCTTGGACCCTACTGATGACCAAGATGACATCTCTCTATGACCTGACCTGATGACGACTGAGACTCACCCTCAGGGGACCCTGAGGACCTGAGGACCTGAGAGAGAAAACTGGGGAGTGATGTTTATATTTTTGAAATCATACATTGATGAGTGCTAAATGAGAGAGATACTCATGATTCTTTCTTTTGTTTTTGTTTGTCCCTAGCTTCTGGACATCTGATGATCTATTGGACACAGACATTTGCAGAACAAGAACCAGCCAATGAAAACGTCTATTGCCGATGCTATTGCTACAACCAGAAACTGTGACAAATGCAATATACATGTTAAGTATTCAGACATCTGACAGACAAAAACTTTGAAAATGATAAAGTATAAGTATTGTAGTGTTTTAGTAGATGTTAAATAGTAGTAAAAGAGTAGAATTTGACTTCCTTTGTTTTTCATAAACACATTTCCACATAAGAGTTAAAATAGTACCCTACAATGTTATCCTTTTGATAGATCAGCTATAATATTAGAATCAGAGTATTTTAGAGATATTAAAAGTGACAGAAGTCACAAATTAGGAATATGCCTTTGCTCAAACTGCAGCCAAACTTTGGAGTCACAATAGTGTAAAAATAGAGATAGATAAATGCATCAACCATAGATGCTTTCAAAAATAGAGAATATTCTTAGCCAGTGCTAATATCAAATGGTAAAGGGACCATTTCACAAGCATTTACTTTAAAAGTAGATAAAGTTAATTACAGTTTATGTACAGTTTTATTAGATACTTGCCAAATTCACTTGTGTTCACACATGAGTGAATGTTGACAATGCAAAAGTCCATATGAGTGTAGTCTAGATTAATGCCTAGATTAATGAGATAGATTACAACCAACAGAGATTCAAAAGCATTTAAAAGCATTTTGATGTATTTGTGTATAGCACAAAAACACAATAGTAGATATTTAGATATTGAGAAGTTTCCAGCACAAACACCATTGTAGAATAACTGACCCCAACCCCAAACCTGCTCAAATAGATTAGCTCTTGTAAGGATAGTTCCAATTTGATTAAAGATGTACATTCATCCCAAACTGATAATGAGAGTAAACCACAGAGAGATTTATTAGATTAAAATGTATGTTTAAGAATATGGCTCAATAGAAGTAAATATACAAACATATTTGTAAATAGATTAGAATAGTTTTAAACTATAGTGAATAGTAAAAGTAAAGTACACAGTCTAAGATTAGAATTAGTGATAATAATACAGTGAAATAAGATTGAGTGAAGTGTAAACAATCAGCATTAGAATAAAAGTATAGAGTAAGAAAAGTTAAATTAGCTTCAAATTTGAGACTCAGCTCGTTTTTGTCTGTGTTTTGACTGAATCTGCTGAGTTCTTGTGTGTCCAATAGTGTTTGTTTGTTTTTTATTTTTGATTTGTTTTTTGTTTGTTTATTTACTTTATTTTTGTTTGTTTGTTTTTTCCCAGGATAGAGGATAAAATCCACTGATATTGATTTGATGATTATGAGTTTAATGCATACATTTTCTTTGTTTTTAATAATTTTTTAAAGTTTTTTTAGGATTTTTTTTTTTTTTTTTTCTTCTTTTTCCACTTTATTGATTGATCAAATTGAGTGATCACATGTGATTATGTGATCAAAGGGGAGGGTATTAGTATTAGATAGCAATATGGCCTACGTGCAGGACTGTACAAGGACTCTACAAGGACTCCATGTTATGACTATGATTTGACTGTCTCTTTGTGACACGTATGTCTTTCGATGTGTGACGTGACAATGACTATATAAACTGTGTACTGCCTTTATTCTGTCTGAGAGAAAGAAACAGAGTAAACCAGTGGAACTTGAGAAAAACATAAATAAACTTCCAGAGTTTGGCACACCACGATCCGTCTCTGTCTGCTTCATCCCTGACAAGCCTACGTCAGCAGCCGCGGAAGCTGCTATCAAAACATTAGCTTTGTGGTTTAACAGGCGCAGATGACTGCTTAAACTAAACTTTGCACGAAACTTTGACTCTAAAAACCCACATGTGACAAAACGGAACCATCAACATCTCGCCTCAAATTGCATTAAAAGAGACATTTGTGTCTTAATTCGTTTGTATTTTAACTTTTAAAGCAATTCACGGTCCGCCATCTTGCACTGCCTCAGCTCATAAAGAGCTGAGGATTGCATCTCTTCAAGGCAGTGTATCTCGGCGTTACACCTGTATGATGATAGGGGGACGGGACGGGGACGGGGGGGAGACCGGGGTGTACTGTCAGAGGTGGGGGCTGGGGATGTGGGGGCAGGATGGCCAGGGGCAGCCGAAGGCAGTGTCCACTGAGCGGTGTCCACTGAGCTGGAGACGTGTGAAGAGGTGGAGGCGGGAAGGGGGACAGATGGAGAGGGGGGAGAATCAAACCGGTTGAAATATTAGTTACATTCATCCGCCAGGTGCTGGTCTCCATCCGCTGTCCCTCTGGCACCGGCGGTGTTCTTTAGGCCTCTCCAGACGTCACAGGCGTTTCCCTGTGCCAGCTTCTGCTCCAGCTTTTTCCCATAGTCCTTCTTGTCTCTCCTAATCCTCAGCTGGAGCTCGTGCTGGATCCTCTTCTGCTCCTCTTTGTCCCCTGAGATGAAAGACCTTTTCTTGAGGTTCAGGAGGGCTTTAAGCTTAGGGGTCACCCATGGGTGGTTGTTCGAAAAGCACTGTACCTTCCTAGTCGGTAAAGTATAACCACACAGAAGAAAATATAGTCTGTTATACAGTGTGTCAGGCTCTCGATGTTATCACCATGAGAGCTGCAGATCATGTCCCAGTCTGTGATTTTGAAAACAATCTCTCAGCCTCTCCTCAGCCTCTTCACTCCACACTGTAACAGACATCTTCAGCGCTGGATGGTGAGGAGGACCTCACCATGGAAGTGTATTCCAGAGAGAGACATACCAGAGAGTGATCAGAGCGGCCAAGCGGGGGGAGGGGAGGGGGGAGGAGGCGTATGCATCTCGGACATTAGCATACAGTTGGTCCAGAGTCCTATGTACAGTAAGTCCCCATTATGTCACGCGGGGCACGTGACATACTGTTTGAATGTAGGGAGAGTAGCGGAGAGGGAGGCATGATTAAAGTCTCCGCTGATCAGTTTCAGATTTCAGTCTGGATCTGCTATGAATGCGCTCACATGCTGCAGCAGCGTCCGCTGATGGAGGGATGTACACACACAGAACCACGGTGTTCAAAAACTCCCGCGGCAGATATCTGGGGCTCATACTCACAGCAAGCAGCTCTAGGTCCTGCGTGCAGATCCGTTTAATCACATAAACATGAGCCGGGATACACCAGTCCTCATTCACGCATACAGCGACTCCCCCGCCCTTCTACTTTCTGCTCCTCTCCACTCTCCGGTGTGCGCGCACCAGTTTAAATCCCTTCAGAGCGACCACAAAGTCCCGTACATTCCCACACAGCCACGTTTCAGAGAAACACATGAGTCCGCATTGTCTGTATTCCCTCTGATGGCAGGCCAGCGCGGCCAGCTCCTCGGTCTTGTTGGAGATGGACCGTACGTTTCCTATGATGATGGAGGGGAGGTACAGCCTCCTCTTCTTCTTGAGGCCTCCTCTGGAGCCTCTGCGTCTCCTGCTGATCCCCAAGGGGATCACCGGCTTCTCAGAGTGCAGGAAAGTCTCTTAGTCAGAGAAGCTACTCCCGGTTGTAAACAACGGGACATGTTTACATGTCCCATCCAGCGCCAGCCCCCGCTGTGAGTGGGGGGATCCAAAAGTGCCGAAAACATGACTAATCCAGCGAAAAGTCCGACAAGAATAGGCTTCCCGTGTGCACTAACGCACAATGTAACACCTACTTTAACAAAAAATAATAAAACAAAAAAAAAACACATCTACAAGAAATAAATAGAGAAAGAGTCGGAAGAGGAGAGAGCCGAAGTGACTATAGCTGCACAGCGGGGGCTGGCGCCGGATTCAGATGAATGGAATATGTAACTCAAAAACTAGATGGCACATCTCAAGGGGCATTCCATCAATAAACTAAACTAAACTAAACTGATAAGGTAGTAATAATAAAGTAATATCTAGTGCTATGGCAGAGTCCCGAATGTTTAAAAGAAACTCTAGGCAGCGCAGAGACGAATAGAGTAGGCTGCTGGAAACAGGGCTTTTGATTTCTGTGATTAATGGTGCAGCCACCCACCCCTCTCATAACCCGCCCCCTTCCTCCACCCTTCACCTGTATGGCCGTCTCCTTGTCGTCCTTGTGGTAGGTCAGCGTGCTTCCCCTGAGCACAAAATACCTCTGCTGCCAATTCTTCACCAGAGATCGCTGTTGCTTCTTGAGCCAGCCCGCCTTCAGGGGCCTCTCCATGGGGGGCGTGGGAGAGCCGGGAGAGGCCGCGGTGCCTGCTGTAGCGTCTCCCGGGAGCACACTTCGGGAGCGAGCTGAGGGAGGTATAGCGAGAGGCAGAATAATGAGTGTTGTGTGTGTGTGAGAGGCAACAAGTGCAGCTCTGTTTCCTGTTTGAGGCATCAGAGCGTGCACATGACGAGTGATAAAGAAGCTCAAACCTCAGTTTAATTGAACTGTATGTTAATGTTTTTAGTAACTTGCACTTTTATTTAAGCTGTATGTTAATATGTATTTTAGTAACTTGCATTCTTATTGAACTGAATGCATTCAAACTTCAACTCACATTTATAAACCTGTTCCAAGAGCAGCCAGTGAACACATACAAAGTCCTCATTCTGAACCAGAATGACCTCGTCAAAAGTCAGGGATCAAGTCCAGAGAACCTGTAGGAACCTTCGTGATCTTGAGGTCTCAGTGAGTTTGGTGTCATTAGTTGTCTTTCATTTGTGTTCTTTTCATGTGTATACTCAACATATAACCACTTATTCACAGACCAGAGAGAGAAGATTTTTTGTGTCTCTTTGGTCTCTCTCTCTCTGATCTCTCTCTTATCTCGCTCTCTGGTCTCTTTCTAGTCTCTCTCCCCTCTGGTCTCTCTTGTCTCTCTCGGGGCTCTCTCTCTGGTGTCTTTTTCCAGTCTCTCTCTCTGGTCTCTCGCTCTGATCTCTCTGTCTGGTCTCCATTTCCATCACTTGTGTTCACATGCGAATGTAGTGGGGCTTGGGTGTGTCCTGTAGCTCCACCCCTCACTCCACCCCTCACTCCACCCAATTGTTAGCTGCCCCTTATAAGCACCTGGGTAAGGTGTAGGGCAGCCACTTTGTGCTGCTGCTTGAGTCTGCTGCTGTGAGGTAGGATGGTTTGCATTGGTGGTGGTGGTGGCATTGATTTGCAATTACCGGCCCATGGTTGGCTCATGAATAATGAGCATGTGGTATATGCACCTAAGTGCTTACAATGAATGGTCTAATATTCAAAATTGATATTTACAGTCTATGGTCCCATGGTTCGAACTGTGAACCATTTGAGGCTTTCAGTCATTTGTGTTAACAAACATGCTGCATCCAAAGCAATAGTTTTACAAAAAGTGTGTTAATTGAGGAAAAGCTACCATGAGGGTGGATTAATTAAACACAACAAACCATTTTTAAATCTATTTACTTTGCAAAATAAAAAAAGGATTTTTGAGTTAAGCGGGATTCAGTCCAGCTACTACCGACTGCGCCACGCAACTGTTACATCATTTGTGATCCAAACTTTTTAAAAAGTAAAACATTGTGACATTAAGGCAAACCTGGATATATGAAATTGAGGTATTACTAAAGTGAAACGTTTTTAATTGTATTTCATATGAAGTAGATTTGCTATACTTAAGCCAAGACTGCTCCCACATACACGCACACACGTACGCACACAGAGACAGACAGGTCACAAAGTACCTGTCAAAGTGATGCACTCTCCGAACTATATGAAGCACCTCAGTAAAACCGTCACTTAGTGCAACGCGAGGCTTTGAACGTCACCACATACGTCCACCAACACGTATATGGTGACGTTTTAAAAAAAAAAAAAACTCCCCCTGATTACTCGGTACACGCTTTGAAGACTCGACACGCTCAGCACATCACTAGTTTGCATTGTGAAAAATTATTCTTAAAGCCTATCAGTTGAGTAATCTTATTTAAAATTCTTGACGATGGCAATGTTTTATGTTTCAATTTTAATGAGCATAGTAAACCTTGTGTGCTCCATACAGGCTAACCTGCTGCTGTTTTTGCTGTTTATTTTTATTTGTATTACTGCTGTTTTGCTTTGGTTGCTGTTTTTTGTGCTATTTGCTTTTGCTTTAGTTTCTTTGCTTATACTTTAGCTTTTATTTTGGTTCTTTTGTTATATTACTGCTTTTTATTTAATTTCTTTGTTAATCTGTAGTTTCTTTCATTAGTCTAGTTTAATCAGTTACATCTTTGATTTACATTTATTTTTGCTGCAACAGGTTGTCAAAGCCAACTGGGTCCATTTTTAAACATTATTACTTTTTCTTTTAGCGACGCTGAGCCCCCCCCTGGTGGCTGGGCTGGGCACATTGGTGTGGTTCCCCCACCTTTGAATGTGATTTAGTGCACTTGGTTCACGAGTTAGCACATTTCATTTGCTGTGTCCACTGAGGTGAGTATTCTGAGTAGCACCCTGGGCACCTCCCAGAGTAGCATGCTCAGCTTCACTATTTTTAATACCTTTTAATAAATGTTATTACTTTTAGTTTAATTTGTTAAATAAATTAACCTTTTCTAAAAAAAAAAAAATTCTTATTTTTACTTTTTTTAAGTAGGATCTTTTTATCAATAAACATTTTTGAACTTTTATGCACGTCTCTGGCATATTTAAATCAGATACTCACCTGTGTTCCTTTATATTGTGACCCTTGGGTTTTTAAAATCAACCACAAACCCTCGGTATTCCACACATATATTATTGGACATACAGTCCGGGACCAAAAGTTTGGACACACCTTCTCATTTCAAAGAGATTTTTTTTTATATTTCATGACTATCAAAATTGTAGATTCACATTTTCCAGCATTATATAAAATGTGAAGAAATATTTGAACCAATTTAAAGATCTTTTTCTAGAGAGTTCCATTGTTTCACACAGGGGAAATTAGAATACTGATACACACATTTTGAATAAGGGCATTTACCTGCAAAGGTTGTTTAAATCAGAATTTTCTCTACTTGTCCTCACTATTTACAGTAAAAAGTGTTTGAAGTCCCTGCTGTAACAGGCAGTGTTTTTGCTTATATAAACAACTAATAAAGTTGTAAAGAAACAAGTCCTTTAATTTGAGTACATCCCTGACCTCAGAAACTGACCTGTAGTATGTTCTCATAGGAGCAAACCATTAATTATTCTTATAGCCCTCTATTTGCAAAATGAAATAAGGGCATTAAAATATAATATAAGAATTACCCCATACCTCCAACATACATTAAATAAGGCAAAATAAAGGAACAATATAAAGATTCGCATTTAGACTTTGTAATTCAACATAAACTTTACTGTTTTACTCAGAGACAGAAGCAATTATATTTTACAATTATTATATCTACGAAAAGCTAAGACGTGACTTCCAACATAAATTTATCATCATGCTGTACTACCTAAAAACTCTGACGCTACATCACCGACACTCTCTCAATAGTTATTCCATTTTACAGCAAATTAAACACTTTCAAGGGCATTTTTTTGATTTGTAAACCACATACATTTTGTTTTTGTTTAAGTTAACGACAATTTATTTTATTAAACCATTTACTGAATTATAGGACCATTTCTTGTTAGATAGTTTTTATACAATGTTCCTAAATTCTTCCCCGATAACAAAAAAAAATAGGGTATCGTCCCAAAAGAACAAAACGTAAAATCTTTGATTCATCACAGAGTCATAAATATATAAAATAAAAAGTACATAGAGATCCCAGCACAGAGTCCTTGAGTGAGGGACACCTACACAGAATTTGTTTCCTAAGTTAGATTCATGCCTATAATACTCTACATATTAGTTTCTAAATTCTAAGTAAAAACTCTAAAACCATGTTTAAAACTATCAACCTCTAATTCCATATGTCTGTAATTTAGATATCAATAATACCCCCGGTGGATCAAGCTGTCAAAGGTCCTTTTTTTAGGTCAATAACAACTCCAACTGTTTGATTTTTATTCTCCAATTCTTGTAGTAATGTCACTCTGTGATTTCCATCAAGACACATAGGCTTTTGAGCGGGATGCATCGAACCCAAACTGATTTCATGTATCAAGGAATGTTTTTCAAAGACAAGAATCCAAATATTTCTTAACTAAAAAGTTTCTCCAGAATTTTGGAAAAAATTGAGAAAAAAAGCCCAAAAAAAAAAAAAGATGATAGGCCACATTAATTTGTGTTGAGGCTATGCTTATTACACCTATTTAATAAAAGGGAACAATCTTAGGCCACCTTCAATTTCTCTGGAGAAAGAAACCCCTAGTATTAAAACAGACACAATGATTATATATTTATAATGGTGTCTACATAATACAATGGTATATTTCTTCTCTGATTGACAATATACATACATCAAAGCCATCAACTATCGCATGTTAATAGTTACTTTTCCAATTTAAAGAGACAGTAAGATAATTCACTCCTCACCAACTTCCGCGCAAGAAATAGGGATTGCATAAACTCGTCTACTTTCAACCTGTCCAACTTTTAATTTTCGAGTTATTTCTAGTGTATAGATTTAGCAAGATTTGGACCAACATTAACAAAAAATTAATTCAATTCATCATCCAATTAATCACCACTTTACCTCCATAATGCTGTTGATTCATTAAGTATAATGGCCGGACCTACAATTAATATTTAACTGCCCATAACCTCCCAAAAACTTTCCCCACTTCCTTTGATATTACTTTTGTATTACCATTAACAAGTTTGTGAATAATAAGCATTCTTTGCACGTCTCATTATGGTAGTCAACTTATTTTTTATAGGCTTATATTTTTTTTTTCTGCATTTACTGTCCGATATTTACAAAGTCGAATAAAGCTTATTTCTTCATTTGGCAAGATTCATATACCCCTTTAGTTATCACAAGGTTTATTATTATTTCTTGCTGTACATTCAATATTTTGTTGGGCCAATTTTTTATTATATAACCCATAGATACTTTTTTAAAAATGATTCATAGAAGTCCCTTATTCACGAATAATTTGCACTATAATCATTTTCCCAGTGTTCTTTCTATAAGATCATTTCCCTTAACTGCATTTAATACTTCTCTCTCATTTCTTGACCGAATAACTTTTACTTGTGCTTTTCTTTGTTTGTTTTTACATACAAAAATAAGTTACAAATATAGGTAATGATCATTAACATTTATCAGAAGAACTCACTTTTGAGACCGTTTATTTTCAAATATATTAACAAATAAACTATTATCAAATAAATGTGGCACAACTGGAAGGTATCGGCTAGATGCCAGGTAATGGTTGGATAAAGGCTCTGCTATACTTTAAATCTAGAAATCTGAACGTCTATATGATTAGCACACATCAATGAGATTATGTTGAAGTCCCCCCCCCGCAAAATTAAGAAGTTTTTTTTCATTCATCCCAACTAATAATTGCTCCAGCTTATGTTATTAAATCTGAAATTCTGGAGCCCAGGAGTTCTATATATGCTTGACAACAATATTCCTCTGTTTGTTTCATTTTGATCTCCAACAGTTAAACATTCCATTATAAATCGATTCTGTTGCAAGTATTGTCATACACTCAACTGTATTGTCATTTTAACACACTACTAACAAAAAGAGCAACCCCCCCTCCACTCTTGTTTTCCGATTAAACATCCAACTATTCATAACCCTCAACATAAAATTCCGCACCTTTCTCAACATCCGTTAACCAAAGTCTCAGACAGAGCTAAATAACAGTAAATTTAATTTGTAAATGAGTCAAAATAGTCATGTATTTTACTAAAATAATTTGAATACAGGCTGTCTACAATTCAAATGAATAATGAAAATGAACCAGCCGTTTCTATATTACTAATAAATTCTGGCGTCAGTGTAATATTTACATGTATCATTTCAGTTGAAAATAAGTTGACTCGGAGTCCAGTTCATCATGGTCATAACACGACCTGTGTTCAGCTTGTGGGGGGGGTAAGAATATGATCACACACTGTGGACATCGCACTAATTATACAGTTAAAGCACTTTCCACAATGTAGTCTCCACATCCCTTAATCTTCGACTGTTTTATAATACATATACATAACTGACCAAGTAAATCGAAGAGATTCAAACGCTGGCTGTTATTTCCGCCGGCGTGAAGCAACGTGTTGCACCACCTGCGGGGGACCTGCGCCTCCCGCAGCCCGCAGCGCTGAGTCCCAATACCGGCTCTTTTTCTTGTGACTTCCAACGATAACGCCAAAGTCCTTTAGTACCCCTCATCTGCTTCCGTGGGTTTTCAAAAATCATCGTCATTCCATCCTGCAAAAACACCATGAGTTTGCAGGTAGAGAATGCGAGACTGATTTTTACGCCTCCTGGATTTGTTTTCCTTGCGCTCCAGTAATTTTTGCGCGCGTCCTTAAACACTTCAGTGGTGTAATCTCCCTAACCACTGTGTGTAAAATGATCCAACAATATTTATGTTTGCCTACAAAAGTACGAGAGACCAAGCAAGAAACAAATCGCATGTCAAAAAGACTCCGAGGGACTCGAAAGTCAAACCGTTAGGACTTGGGACTGACTTGAAATTGGTTGGCCTTTTGACTTGGACTCGACTCTGGACTTGCTGTCATGACTCGTGATCCCCCCCCCTTATACTCGGGACTTGGAGGGCAATGAATTGAGACTGACTTGTGACTTGCGTAAACAATACTTTGATCCCACCTCTGCAGATGATGCCTTCCCACTGCGCAGTGAACTTAATGTGGCCTTTTATCCTGGAAGATGGCAAGGCGAGACGCCTGAGACAGCGCATTTTTAATTACCCGCCTCTTCCCGAGCCCGCTGTTGGTGGAGGAGTAGTTTAGGCATATGGTTATCGCAGGGAGTAATGTTTCGTCCTGGGGCCTCAAGATCCGCCAGAAGTTGTGGAGAAGTGCGTGAAGGCCACATGTGTGTCTCACACAATTTCCTGAGGTGGTGTCTGCTCCGGTTCCCAGTCCCATATAGGATCTGCAGCGAGGGAGATGACTGTCGTCCAGGTGTCGGGAGGAAGTGTTGCCAACAATTCACCTGTGCCGTCTTGTTTGCAGAAATTGTTCCAGATTCTGAGCAGTCCCCGACATCACAACATGCATGTTCAAGTCGTGTCTCACTTACAATGTTTGTCCAACACAGGAGATTCCTGAAATTAATTATGTCAACTACTTTCTGTTAAGCTTCTTCTTTTGGTGATAACAATTGGTATGTTTATGAGTAATGTGCTCCAAGAATTGAAATACTTACATAAGTTGAAATTGAACCTTTCAAACACATACCTTAAGAAAAACTAGCACATAATTAAAGTATCAGACCAAAAACTTTAATTATGCTTGTTATTTTTTTATAATACCATTAACAAAATAATATAACGGATTAAGACACAATAACGAACAGGAACAAAAGACCTATGCTTGTCTGTTTCCCTCCCCAGCACAAGAACCACCTCATAGCAAAACAACTTCTACTAAGGTTGTGCACCAATTGGTCCAAAATAAGCAAAATGAGTTCAAACTCACATAAAGTAATTTTACTGAATTTGGAATTTTACAAATTCTACAGGATTTGTCTGGTGGCACCTATCCAGGAGAGGAAGCGAGATTGGAATGAAGAGCTCATTAAGTTATTGGAGCAGGAGCGGAGGCAGCAGCAGGTGGTCAGCTGCAGGAAGGCCATCAGCTCCGCTCCTGGTCGGAGGTGACCGGTAGGAGCGCTCCTCCCTCTCATCCTTTGGGACCTGCAAACACCACAGGACAATGACATAAAAAATAAAAAGACATGAGAATGAAGGATATAATAATCTATGAACAACTATTTAATCCCTTTGCTTTTATGTTAAATAAAAACAAGATCCTCTGAAAAACAGTAATTTTTTTCCTCATTGAATATCACTATTTCATAGCAAACTCTCTGAATGACGTCACTAATACACGCCCCCGAGCCGCCGTCACCTCCCTCCCACATGTTTCTGTTCTGACAAACACTGCCGAAATTGAATCACATACCACTTGTCACCTTAGACTCAAATGAAAAACCAGGAGCAAAATTCCAGTCCGACCATCAAACCATCAGGGGATCAACATGTAGACCCAATTATACGTTGGCTTGAATGTCGGGTCTGTAACTGGAAGAAATGTTAGAATAGTGATACAAAGGTAATGGTTGAGATGATTATGCTAACATATCAAGTCATGCCTTAAATTGCAATTGCAAGCGCCTTCTTTGTTTGTTATTTGCTGTGATTAACTTTACATTTATACACGTTTTTATTTTGCACTGTCCTCTTTGTATTTAGTTTTGATCATCAGCTACTGTCAGCTGAAATTATAATAATTCCATGGGGTCATCAACGGGCTACACACCACACGTCCCTCTAGAGAAACAATCAGAGCCACACTCAATAAAACACAAATTCCATCAATCGACATATATAAATGTTAATGGGCCGATAAAATATACATAACATTTTTAACCCAACACGTGCACAGAGGTTTCCATGACCAAAAAAACTTTTTTTAATGCACTAAAGCAACGCTTTTTTGAAGTAGGATAACCGAGCCTCACTGTTTACTCGCACTGCCACGGGAAAACCTTGAACTATTATCTTTGGATTAGGTTTGTGTAAACCCACAGTCGTACAGGGATTAGTCAAAGCACAAAGGAAGGTTTCTCACCCATCAAACTGTACTTCTTAGCAAGTTTGTCCCGCCGTTTTCGTCTCACACTAGCGGACTTCTTCAGGGGAATGAATTCTCAGAACTGGCGCGTTGGAGATTTAATAATCATATGGTGTGGTTAGCCACACCCTAATCCAGATACTAATGCTTGAGTTTACACGAGACAAGTGAGCAGTAAAACGGAATAGTTGGATGTCGGTTTGCTACCAATACGTTCATAACGAAGCCTGTTTATTCCATTGGGGACAAAACGTAAGTGTTTCAGATCCACCTGCAGAGTGGGACAACTCAGAAGCGCTGCACACGTGGGCTCTTTCAACACCCGCGAGAGGGAGAAAGGATGAAATCCCCACAGCTCAGACCCCCCGCCTCCGGCGGCCCCCGCACGTAAATTTGTACATGCGCTACGGAGAACAAACCATCACCAAAGATGGCCCCGCGCACACTACCTAGCATCGTGTGTGGCAACCAGCAACAGCACATGAGGATAATTAATATTGAAGTAATAGTTACTTAATGTAACTTAAGTTCTACGAATAGGTGCGTAGTCCCTTAGGACTTCGCTAGTGGGATATCACTCGTGACCCCCAGGTCACACGCCAGAGAGATCAAAATAATTTGCTCCAATCACCAGCCACCTTCCTCTATAAATGCCCCTGCACAAGGCCGCACCCCCTCTTGAACTCTGCCAAGCCGGGCTGGCCTGATGGGCTCGTAGCTAAGGGACTACGCACCTATTCGTAGAACTTAAGTTACATTAAGTAACTATTAATTCTACGTCATGGTGCTACGTCCCTTAGGACTTCGCTAGTGGGACACAACGCGGAGGCCGTAGGAAAATGTACTCCCAGCAGGCCAGCGAAGGGTGATTGGAGCTCCGCCCGAGTAAGACCCTCACAACGTGAGGACTCAGGGCAGAAGAACAAGCGTGTTACGGGGCCACTCCTACCAAGGATACCCCCACGTAACACAAGCCGTAGGTCATACGTAGTCACAGGACGCCTCTCCCAAGAGCTCCTGACGAGGACTACCAGACCGACCACACACACAAAGTACCGCACCTGTAGGATGCCTCTCCCAAGAGCTCCTGCACCAGGGCAGAAATTAGACCGAAGGCCCCCCCTAAGGGGAGGGACCCAACGGTCTAACTCAATCCGCTGCACTCAGCACGGAATGGGCCACCGACCGGTCCGACACATCCGAAAGATAAGACCGGACAAAAGAGGAGGACGACGCCCAAGAAGCCGCACGGCAAACGTCCTCGACCGACGCCCCCCTGAGAAGGGCCGTAGAGGCCGCCATCCCACGCGTGGAATGCGACCTGAAGCCCACCGGGGGGGCCAGGCCCTGCGTCTGATACGCCCGTCGCACCGCCGTGGCGACCCAATGCGCCAGCCGCTGAGCCGACAGCGGGGCGCCCCTGTTCTTGGGGCCCAGACACACAAACAGCTGATCACCCGACCTGAATGACGACGTCATGGCCAGGTAATGCCTCAGCATTCTGATAGGACACAGAAGGTGCTGCCGCTCCTCCTCGGGGGAGGCATGCGGCGGCGGGTGGAAAGCCCTAATCCTGATCACTCTCGACCTAAAGGCCGACGTGATGACCTTGGGGAGAAAAGCCGGATTGGGCCACAACTCCACCATGCCGTCGTCCTCTCCAAAGGACAGGCACGACGCATGGACGGAGAGCGCACACAAATCGCCCGCCCTTTTAGCAGACGCCAACGCCAGTAAGAGGGCCGTCTTAAAAGCGATACACTCGGGACTCGCCTCCGCCGCTGGTTCAAATGGCGAACCCGACAGCCCCCTAAGGACCACCCTGAGGTCCCAAACCGGAGGCGTTCTCTGGAGCGGGGGCCTCCTCCTGCGCGCCCCCCGCAGAAAACGTTTAACCAACGGGTGAGAGCGGGCTGTGAACCCCCCGAACCCGTCGTGACCCGAAGTAATGGCTGCCGCAAACACCGCCAAGGTAGCGACAGCCCTCCCCTTGTCGAAAAGCTCCTGTAGGAATCCCAGGACCCCCTCCAGCGGGCCACACCTGGGATCCCAGGAACGGGAATCGCACCAGACACTGAATAGCCTCCACCTCGTGGCGTAGGCCCTCACGGTGGACGGCGCCCTCGCTCCCTGAATAGTCTCCACCACCGCAGGGGGAAGACCCAGATCTACGAGGCTCCGCCTCTCAACCTCCAAACCCAGAGCCTGCGGCCGATTATCGGACGTGAAAACAGGGCTCCTGCCCCCTGGACTAGAGCCCCCGGCTCGTCCGGGAGGGCCCAGGGCTCCATCACGCCATGCCCCTCAGGAAGGGGAACCACCGGGCATGCGGACTGTCCGGAGCCACCAGAATCACCGATCTCCTCTCCTGTTCGATCCTCCGCAGCAGGACCGGCAGGAGACGCACCGGTGGGAAAGCGTACAACAGGCCGCCTGGCCATGGGTAATGAGCCAGAGCGTCCACGCCTAAAGGCGGCTCGTCCGCGGCCCTTAAGGCGAACCAGGACGGGCACTGTGCGTTCTCTGCACTGGCGAAAAGGTCGACTACTGGACGGCCGAACCTCCGCCAGATCTCCGCAGCTACCCGTGGGGCCAGGCCCCACTCGTCCTGGAGTGGGCCCCCCCTGGACATTCTGTCGGCTCCCACGTTCCGGACCCCCGGGACGTGGCGCGCCCTGAGAGACAGGAGGTGAAGCGCCGCCCACAGCAGCGTCACCGTCGCCATGCGATGGAGAGCGGGGGACCTGGTGCCCCCCTGCCTGTTCAGATAGGAGACCACTGTGGTGTTGTCTGAGCGCACCATCACGTGTCTCCCCTGCAACTGAGGGGCAAAGTGCAGCAGTACTCTGTGCACTGCCTCCATCTCCAGCAGGTTGATGTGACGGGCTGAGTCCGACCAGCAGCCTCCTACAGAGCTCTGGCCGAGGACCCCGCCCCATCCTTCGAGCGACGCGTCCGTGAACACCTCGACGTGAGACACAGCGCAGGCCAGAGTCACTCCGTCCCGCAATAGACCCGGAGTGAGCCAGAACCTGATGTCCGATGCCGCCCCTTGGGGAACCCAGATCAGCCTCCCCCCGTCCCGGGAGGGGTGAAGCCTGAGGCGCGAGAACCACCTCTGAAAGTTCCTCATGTGGAGCAGGCCTAGCCGCACCACAGCATGAGCCGCTGCCATCATTCCCAGCAGGGACCTGAGGCGCCGAGCGGGGACTCTGGGGCCCGCCAGAACCTCCCGGGCCAGACGGGTAATACTCATCCGTCTGTCCACGGACAATGCAGCACGGAATATCACCGAGTCTAGCTGCAGACCGAGGTAAACCAAGCGTTGGGCTGGCTGCAGCTTGCTCTTCTCCCTGTTCACCACAAAGCCCAGACGCTGTATGTGGGACAGGACCCAGTGCGTGTGGCTCACGGCCACTTCCCTGGATGGGGCCAGTATTAACCAATCGTCTATATAGGTTAATATTCTTACCCCCGCACGTCTGATCGGCTCCAGAGCTGCTTCCACACATTTGGAAAAGGTGCGAGGCGCGAGTGCGTACCCGAAGGGGAGACGGCAGTACTCGTAATTCCTCTCTCCCACTGCGAAGCGCAGAAACCTCCTGTGTTCTGGCACTATGGGCACGTGGAAATATGCGTCTGTCAGGTCTATGGAAGTCATCCAGTCTCCTTCCCTGACACACTCGAGGAGCTGCCTTGTGGACAGCATCCGAAACTGCCGCTTGGAAATGCACTCGTTTAACACGCGCAGATCCAGAATGGGACGCACCCCGCCTGATTTCTTTGGCACTAAGAAGTAAGGGGAGTACAGCCCCCTGGTGGCGTCCTGTGGGTCTACCTCCACTGCTGCGCCTCGACTCAGCAGAGAGGAGACCTCCGCTTCTAGTGCCTCTGTCGATCCCCGTACCTGAGAGCGTACTGCCCGTACGCCTCGGAATGGTGGTGGCTTTCGGAAAAATTGCAGAGCGTAACCTCTGCGCAGAGTTTTCTCCAGCCAAATATCTGTCAGTAGGCCCTGCTCCCTCCAGATGGAGTAGAAATCTGTGAGGG